TTCCCCCCCCCCCCCCCCGCACACGCACGCACGCACGAAGCATGCTATCCAGTGGCGCAGGCTAACCCTAACCTATTGCAATCGAAATCGCACACACCCCCAGGTGGAAAACCTCATGGAAGCGCTTCTTCATCGAGATGGCCTACCAGGCGCAGTACTACATGCTCTACCCCAACTTCTTCAACCAGACTTCCTTCGCCACCAACTGGTTAGAGGTGAGCGGGCTGCAACGAATGGCAACTCTGACGACTGTTTGCCCCCAGTTCTCGTTCGAGGCGGCGAAGCAGAGTTTGTGATAAGCCAGTTCGCATGTCACACACGTCAGCAGAGAGTTGGGGGTCGCGACAACCGTACGACTCGAAGGTGAAATGTTGAATGCTACATCCCAACAGTTCTATGCACCGATCCACGGGCAGACTATCGGCAGAGGGCGTGCTGCATTGGACCGCATATTTTCAGGTTTTCTCTTTACACTCAAGCGGCGTACTAAAGCGAGCCCCCCACGCTGTCGTTTTCGCGTGGCTCCGTGCCGAATCGAAACCAGGCCGGCGAGCACATCAAGATCGATCAGGATAAGGCCAACGACGGTAAACCCGCGCCCGCTGCCCCCAAGGTGCCTCCTCACGACCCCGTGGCTTACTTGTAGGGTGCCATGTACCGTGGATTTTTCCAACTCTTGCCCGCGCGCAGTCTCCTCGCCACCTGACTTTTTTTTTTTATGTGGTGCGGCGTAAATCGACACGACGGACGGTACGGGGACAGAAGCTACCCCTTCGCCACATGACCTTGGTTTTTCTTTGCTTTTGTTGTTTGCGCTGCGGCGCGGATCGACCCCGGCCTGAACTTTCTCTTCATCTTTTCTTTTTTGTTTTTCTTTTGTTTGTGGTGCGGCGTGAATCGACCCGACGGGCGGCAGGGGGACAGCAAGCACCTCCCGAAGGACTACACGGTGCCCTTGATGGTGAGTCTTGCAACGGTTTGACTCCTGTAAACGTTCTTGTATGTGGGGGGGTCGACAGCAGCATGCGCGAAGAAGTTACGAGTCGGCATGTACATGCATATCGTGGCGTTTTTTGGGTGCACTTTCGTAAATTTTTCAAGACCAATTGTGAGCAAGAGCGAGGAAGAAGCGAGCTATTGTGCCGCACCTCCCCACACACTCATGCACGCGAACCATCTCCTTCCTTCTGAGTGGAGCCTTGACGTTGGCCGGCGGAGGGGGGGGGGGGGGGGGGGGGCTTTTTTCCAAAAAAAAAAAAAAGAAAAAAAAGGGGTTTTTTTGGGGAACTTTTTAAAATCCAAAAAAAAAAATTTTGGGGGGAAAAAAAAAAAAAAAAAAAAATATTTTGCCCCACCCCCCCAAAAAATAATGGACCCAAAAAAATTCCCCCCTTTTAAAAGGAACCCGGAATTTTGCTGCCGGGGGGGGGGGGCAAAACCCTTTAAAATTTTTTTAAGGGAAAAAAAAAAAATTTTCAAAAAAAAAAGGGAAAAAAAAAAAATTCCCTGTTGTTCCCAAAAAAAATTTAAATTCAAAAAAAAAAAGGAAGGAAAAAAAAAATTTTGGGAAACGGGGCCCCCCCCC